TCTGGTCTAAGTCTTTCCGAATTGGCCCGTTCGGAAAATCCCGAAGGGTGATTTTCCTAGCAAAGATCCCATATGTTCGACAAAGATTAATAAAGTCTTGATTCTTGTAATCTCAACTTAGTTACATTTTTTTTTAAACCAATCGACAAATTCTTGATTATATTTGACCTTTTTTTTTCCTTTTTTTTGTTAGCACCTGCGTGCGTAATATTTTTATTAAGAAAATTTAACTTATGATCATAATTTTCTTTTACGTTTCAAGTTCAGGTCTATTGGTTGACAATAACAGTCATTAATGTTAAGGCGAAATGTTAATAAAGATGTTGGTTGAATTGAAATTTTGCAATGTTTAAACATATATAGTAACTAGGTTAATGCATAGCATTGTGTGTCCGAAGTAGGGATGGGCGTTAATATACCGTGGTATATATACTAAAAGTATTTCAAATTTTATCTCATTTAATTCTACAATTAAAATATAATCATTGCTTAGTATATGTTTTAAACTTAGTTAGTAAAACATAAGTTCATTATAATAATTTTATTTTTTAGTAACTAGTTAAATACATATATTAAAACATCATTTGTTCTATATCTAGCTTATAACAGATATTGAATTAGTTTTATTAGTTTATTTTTTGATTTTACTTCTAATAGCAATTAAGTTATTTCACCTCTATTATTAGTAAAAACATATTTGAATTCTTGGTTTAGATTTGTATTTTGGATTAGCTAAAATATTACATAATTGTGTAAATTTTATCTTGAAAAAGAACAAATTAATAATGAAAATCAAATGATTCAAGAATTAAAATTTTTAAAAATCAAACTAATCTTTTTATTTCAGAAATTATAATTATGTTTATAACATTTAATACAACTCAATAAATTTTTATTACATTAATTTTTATATATATATTAAAAATTACTAAATTTAATTTAGACTTGTAGAAGATCTTAGATTTTTTGAAATTAGGAATAAGCTGATTACACTATTCATAACTCAATGTTTGTCTTATTTGAAAACTTTGTTACAATCAGAAATTATTAATCAACCTATTAGTAAAGAAATGAGATTTAAATTTGAAGAAAATCTTGTTGATACTGAAATATATATTGTGATGTTTTGTGACATATATCAGTTAGTATTTGATAAGTTAAAAAACATCTCGATCAACATCCTGCATTACTATTATTTAAAGCAATTCAATGCTTTGATTCACAGTTTATCCAAATTCAACATCATAATATTACTTATACTCAGAAATTCAAGAATTTAAAAAATCAACTAACCAAATTATTCAAGAGTGGTCAATTTACTGTGGATTAGATAAAGAATTTCTGGATTCCAAAGAATTTGATTTAGATTTTTACTGGCAAAGAAAAATTCGAAATTTACCTAATTTGTTAAAGTTAGCTTTGGCTTCCTGTGTCAAGTATGGATGTGGAAAGGAGTTTTTCTGCATATAAAGAGATTCTTGATGACAAACGACATATATTTTAACAATGATATAGTAAATTAAAAGGTAAATTACTATTTGTTGCTACTTGTTATTTCATAAAAATTAATTACTAGTGGGAAATGTTATTTTTTTCGAATATTTAACAGTAAAATATCATTTACTTAAATCATTTTATTTTAATTACTCTTTATTCGCTAAATACATGGTTGTTATGTGTAAGCATAATTTTAGCATAATCTTATTTAACTCGCATAATTTACATAATTTTACGTAGCATAATTTACATAATTTACGTAGAATAATTTACAGCATATTTCTAAATAAATTATCGCATAATTCGCAACCTAATTTTTACCCCTGATTTTTGAGTTATTTTTAGATATTAGCCAATAACAATTAAGATTGTGTATAATCAATCTATTTTTAGAACACTAACCTTTCGATAATTTAAAAATCTCAATTTTTGAAAAAGGTTTTGCTAGACCACGACCCATATTGGGACTTCCCGGAGGGGATGGGACAAAAAAATAAAATTTTTAATTTTATGTTAATTATAATCTAATTAGTCTAATTCTTCAAGATATGAATTATTTTAAAAAAAAATTTTTTTGTCCCATCCCCTCCTTTTGCTGTTATCAAAATCAGTGTTATGATGTACAGTACAGTACTATTATATATCATATCGATCATTACCGAAATCACTAACTTTTCGAATCGGCAAATATGGGGTGTTATCAATAGAAACAGCCCATTTTTACGTACAATCTTTTTTTTTTTTGATTTTTGAATAGATATATATTCAATAATTTAAATTAAAAAAACTAATTATACGTATAATAACAAATTTCACAAAATGAACTTTAAAATACACAAAATTGTTTATATGTAAAAATGGGCTGAATCTATTGATAACACCCCAATTTATTCAGTCAAAATTTTAATCAGCTGTCCTAGTTACGTAGAATGAAATTAAAAAAGAATAGAATTATATTTTGCATTGAAAAATATATTAATATTTAATAATATCACAATTAGGGTTCTGCCATGCACTACGTAGTGCCTCATACCATACCTATGTTACGTATAGACACAAAAATGCTGGGCACTATTATTGGCATATGCAAAAATGCCAGGTAGTATATGGGCACAGGCACAAAAATGCCGGACACTATTATGTGCATGAGTGCAAAATTAAAAGTACGTAGAAGCTTTTGAATTTCGTGATCTAATTTTTTTGCTCTTGCCTATGCCCATGCCTAATTTTTGTGCCTATTACCCATGCCTGTGTCTAAGTTATTATGCCCATGCCTGTGTCTGTGTCCAAGCCAAACTTTTTGTTAGGCACAGGCTAGTAACTAGCCAAGCTTTTCGTTAAAAAAAAAAAAAAAAAAAGAGATTATATTTCATATTTGAGTGTCGCCAAGGGAATACAAAACTTCGAGCTTTTAAATTTATAATTTGCCGGAATAAACATCAGATTTTTATAGTGATTGAGTCCCGACAAGAAATAAACTTGTAAGCTCAAGTCTGTTTTCCCTTGGCGATACTCATTTAGTACAATATACTAATATAGCTTAGTTCTAGGAGCTAATAAACTAGTTTGGAATTAAAATTCAGACTGTTGTTTCGTAGGTCCCTAAATATAACGGTTAGGAATTAGGAATTAGGAATTGGGTCCTTTTTGGACTGCATACATGATGCTTATAAGTAGATGAACTATTCATCAGATATTAGGTACGTAATAATGATTTATTCAACAGATAACTATACGTATAACTATTTTTAGATCAACAATAGTGATATTGTTACTTGAAGTAGTACGTACCGGTACAAGTACATAACAGATAAATATCTTAAAAAATAAGGCCACACAAAATCATTATTATGTAAGGATTTTTTATGGGGTTTTAACGATTTCGGAAAATTAACTTTTGAAATATTTTTTATTTATTTTGTAGCTCTCGCTCTTCTCTTTTTAGTGACAATGTTTTTTTTTTAATTTTAATGAATTTATTGTTGTTACATTTTGGGTAAGTTCCCTTCTTAATTTTTTTTAATTTTAATTGTTACATTTTAGGTAAAGCTCCCTTACTTTGTTGAAGAATTGGCTACTTGTAAAAGGAATAAATCGAAAAAATTCCATTGTTACGATATTCTAAACGAGTTAAAATGTCGTTTACAACAAATTAAACTTGCAATTATGTTAGTTCAAAAGAAAACTGTTATTATCCTCAGTAAATTCAGTATATATACCCTACTTATGGTTTAGTTTGATCATTATCTTACTGGAGCACGGCTTTTTTTTGAAGAAAAAATTTTTTTAAATAGTAGTAAAAAAAAAACTTTTTAAAGCTTATTAAAAAAATGCAATGGCCTCACAAAATTATATAATTGCTCAATTCTCCGAAAGTTAGTTCTCCGATATACCGACATAAAGTTTTTCCAAATGCACTTTTCCCGACAGACTATTTTATTTTACTGACGTAACTTCGGTACTGTTCCTGATCAGATAGAAAAAAAAATCGAATTATGTACCATTCCTGATAGAATCCTAAAAACTATATTGTGTTTACATTGAGATCATCGTTATAAATCAATTAAGAGTCGAGACTTTGGCATCCTTAGAATTTTATGAGAAATTAGCTTCGGATTCTTTTAAGAACCATATCAGGAAAGGTACGTACGTACGTACGTACGTAAAATCGATTTTTTTTTTTTTTCTATCCTATCAGGAATGGTATTTTTGCTTATTGGTTAACTATAAAAAAAAAAAAAAATTTACAAACCCCGCTTCACTGACGCGGGCGGGATATGAAAACCAATGATATAATTTTATGTGGCCCAATGTAAAATATGAGTGCTGCCAGGGGGAAAACCAGACATAGGGCTTTGAAACTTATAATTTATCAGGCTCAACCCCTGAACAAATCTGACAAACGACAAACGACATATGATACGTAATTAAATTTAAATTTAATTACGTGTCGCTTGTCAAATTTGTTCAGAGGTTGAGCCTTGATAAATTATAAGCTTCAGCCCGATATCTGGTTTTCCCTTGGCAGAGCTCATATATTACGTACAAATATCGAAATAATTTTTTTAATTTTTTTTCGACATTTACTATAATTAAAACTCAAAAGTAACTTGAATTCATATAAACATGATAAATCAAAATTGTAACTAATAGCCCATCGATTTATTTGCGCCAATATACCATTTTCTATTATTAATTAACAATAATTAACAAATCAATTTTTTTTTTTAAATAAATCCATCTAATTTATTAAAAATTATTTCACATGGGCGCAAGTACGTACGTTGGTAATTTCGAATTTGAACGTAGCGGTAGCATAATACCTTAAACAAAATATGACTTAAATAGTATAAAGTGTCACAGCGTTTGAGATACGTACATACATACCATATAAATTAAATTACGTAACGGCAAAGAAAAGAGAGCCTCATAATATTATCAAAAATTAAAATAAAAGATATAAAAATAGATTGTTTAGAGATTTACCAAATTGGTAATTATCTTTTGTACTTACAGTATTTTATCTTTAGACAAAACAAAAAGAATGTGCGCAATGCTTAAAAAACTATCCAGATAACGTTAGTAATAATTTAGCGGTCTTAACATTTCGTTTAGAAACTTCCTGATGTGAAAATCCGACAATATCTTTCAACTTGCATAATCAATTGGATTTAGAAATATTGAGTCATGATTAAGAGAATGTTACATCCTTTGATTATCTATACCCCACGAAAAATGACGCCTTTATTTCACGTGATACATGCTGCCTAAAGTAAACTTAAAAACTTTAAAAGGTTGTTTGTACATGAGATAGTGAACATAAATTTTTTGATAATCAATTATTTACAGTGGCTCCTTAAAGGTAATTTTGATAATGTACGAACTACTTACCGGTATGTATGTACGAACTACGTATTAGGTAGGTATGTATAGTACGTGCAACACACGGAAAATTCTCTTTTCTAAATGGCCATTTTAGGGAAATAATGTACAATTTTATCACATAATTTGGACCATTTCGAATAATCCCGCATAATGTATGCTTTAATTAACAGAAGGCGGGCTAGAATTTTATCACGTTATTAAATCAATTTAAGTGACGTCACTTTCCCGTTAAAACCGTAATCTTGCCGAAAATGAATTGTCTGCAGTTCCAATAATACATTATGTAATCGTACCTCTTTTTAAAAGATAATCTATAACGATAAATCTGAAAGGAGATGACCGATTACAACGAGTACAATGCTTTTTTTTTTTAATAATGTAAAATCTTGAAAAATGTTATGAACCAACTTTGAAAGATATATTTATTGTAAACGTACTGTACATTGAACATCCTGCTGCATTGGTTCATCAAAAAGATTACCAACTTGGTCACATGAAATTCGTCACATTCCAAGTAAATCATTATATCGTCAGTCACATTAAGTCCATTAGCAGAATAAACATATTATATGGAAGACACTGAAACTTCTTTGGCACATCAAAAAAGAGTCTAAATTGGGAGGAATAATGATAATTATGTACTGTACGTAGTGGTATCGGTATAACAAAAATAAAAAAATAAAAATGCTAATACGGTATAAACAAAAAGCCCCGGTTTCACTCATACATACGTATATTGTTATTTACTTTATAAAATAAATAAACTAAGTTTCACAAACTATTTATGTGTACCTAAGTAATAGATGGACAATTTCAATAAATCATTCTGCCCTCGATTGATCGTTGCATTAATTCCCACAGTATCTGGTATCGAGGCTTTTTTTTTTTAAAAAAAAAAAGCCTTCTTTTTTTTTCATCTCCGTAAATAATAACCTCTCGTTTTTAGAT